CCCCGCTGCCCCTCCCACGCTCACACGGCCCTCACTTCCCAGTCCCTCTTCTTCTGACTCCTCTGCCCCATCCCGGCTGACACGCCCGCGTCCACACCCTCAGCATCGGGGCCACCGACTGCCCCGCAGGGTGGTCTCCCGTCCGCCATCCACCCTTCCCCCTCTAACAGGCAGGTTCAAGTTTCTCTGTTAAACTTATTGATTTTAGCCCGGCCGGGCGTGGCTCAGCGGTTGAGCGTCGGCCTAGGATCCAGGAGATCAGGGTTCGATTCCCGGTCAGGGCACAGGCCCGGGTTGCGGGCTCGGTCCCCAGTCAGGGGCGAGCAGGAGGCAGCCGGTCAGTGACTCTCATCATTGAGGTTTCTCTCTCCCTTTCCTTTCCTCTCTCTGAAATCAGTAAAGATATATTTAAATATATATATATTAATTTTACATGGCTATTAAATAAATGCATATATAGATATTTTTTAAAGGTATTTTAAAAATCATTCATTCGCCGCAGCTAGACGTCACTGTCGGCTTGCTGACGCACGGCCCACCCACTGCACTGCGGGTGTGTAATTACACAGGGTCTCTCTTATGAGTTAATTATTTCTAATTCCTGATATTATACATAATCATATGGCAAACAGTATTATAAGTAAACCTTTGCTTATTTTTATCATTAATACCTTAGAATAAATTCCTAGGAAATTCTTTGCTGGGTCAAGTGGTTAAAATATTTTTGTGTGTCTTAATATAAATCATTCTATAAAAAAAGCTGATCACTTGCCAACTTTAAAAAAGAGTGTGTACGGATTAAATTCAGTTCACGGGCATGGCACCCAGCATTATCTTTATTCCCCCCCTTCTTTTTTAGATACTAGAAAGGTGTTGCAGGTAAATTAAAAGCCTGAAAGGCAGTTTGCTGGAGTCCTAGACACAAAAGACAACTGCGGCTGAAAATCTGGATATATTTTTTTCTTTCTCTGTGCGAACTCAAATATATATAATTTGATTTATTTGTCTATTTTTTATAATTCTCACCCTAGAATATGCTTTTATTAATTTTATAAAGAGAGGAAGGGAGAGGGAGAGAGAGAGAAACATCAATGATGAGAGTCACTGACCGGCTGCCCCCTGCAGGCCCCCCGCTGGGGATCGAGGCGGCCACCCGGGCCTGTGCCCCGACCCGGGATCCAACCCTGACCTCCTGGTTCACAGGTCGACGCTCAACCGCTGAGCCACGCCGGCCGGGGCTCTCCTTTGTTCCTTTTCATCAAATGGCCATGACGGTCCCTGACCCTCTGTGTGGATTTTACGAACACCTGTTACTTTCCGTAAAGGAAATGAAGGGCAGGGTCTCTATTACACTCACAGTCGGTGACCGATGAACTTAAGGAAAACCCGCATCACCGACGCTGCTTTCCGGGTCCCTGCCAGGCGCCTTGTCCCGCTCATTGAGATCCACACAATTTGTCGCCGTTTGCGTGTGGCTTTCTGTGCGGAGGCCTCGCCCATCCCGGGCTTACTCCCGGCCCCAGCGTGCTTTCTGATGACAGCGTAAATGGTCTTTTTATTTCATTTTCTATTTGTGTCTGAAAATGACATTTCCCAGTGCAGAGGAATTTCACTTAATGCCGAGCGTAAAAAGCAACGTGACAATGCTACGAGTGCATCGCCGGTGGCATCTGTGAGGCGGTTATTGGTACACCCAGGGGCCTGCCCGCGGTTTGGGGACAGGTATGTGCCCACAGCTGTGAAGACCGTGGGCTATAAACGGAACAGTGCCCCTCAGCTTCAGAGCGTGGGTGACAGGAGCACACGTGACTAAGTGGGGAGGGGACGTGCGACTCTGTCTATAAGATTTTATTCTGTAAAAAGGCCTGAGGCAAACAGCAGAACGTTGACACTGGGTGGTGGGCACCAGGAGCCTGCCATGTCCTGTGCTTTTCTGTGGAGTAGAAATATTTTATGTTGGACATTTTGTAATAAACTTCGGCCCAGCTGGCATCTCAGGGGTTGAGCGTCGACCATGAACCGGAGGTCGCTGGTTCGATCCCCGGGTTGTGGGCTTGATCCCCAGTGGGGGGCATGCAGGAGGCAGCCCATCGATGTTTCTCTCTCTCCCTCTCCTTTCCTCTCTCTGAAATCAATAAAAACATATTCAAAAATAAACTATATTTTATACTCTGTGCAGGGTGAGAGAGATAGTACTGAGTGTGTAATACACACAAAATAAATGATTAAGTTCTGTGCGTGGTGTTTTTATGTCATCTCGTCTGATTTTTTAATCTCCCTTTCAATTTTGCGCATGGAGCAAAAAATAAAAGAAACTATACATCACCACGCTCGGGAAAGCCCGATTTTTGTTGACATTTCGGCTCCTCTTGGATCCGTTTGAATTGCTGCAAAAAGGACCGAAACCCCGCTGCCGCCTCCGACAGTGATCTCCTCAGACGGAGATGTGCAAGTTGTTCTGGAAAATATCTGCAAATCCAATAAAAGCGCTTTAAACTTTATAAAGGAGGGAGTTTATATTACACGCCTCTGCCTTTGTGTTAGAGGTATTTTAGATTTTATAAAGGAAGGAGTTGATAGCGTACGGTTCTGCCTTTGTGCTGGTCTTTCGGATAATGCATTTTTCCAAAGATACAATTCGTGGGAACAAATAGGACATCGGATGAGACGAGCGCGGATCACTGGGGGCAGGTGGGCGGCCGCCCGCTGCGCCGGCTCCGCTTTTCCTGGCGCCGACGCTGCCCCCTCGTGGGCGCTGGGAGAACAGCGCCGACCCCGCCTGGAACCCGCTGGGCCGGCCTCGCAGAGCCTCCCACCGTCCTTGGTCCTTGGCGTGTGCACAGGAGGGGTTGTTTAATCCTTTAAAAATAGCTCAGCAGATTGCTCAGCGGGCTCTGTGCGTCCGCGGCAGACACGGGTCCTCTCTGCCCGGCCCCTGCCCCGCGCCTGCCAGGGACCAGGGTTCCAGGGGAACGGAGTGAGCTGTGTGCGTCCCTGGTGCCTAGATGCTCCCTGGGGACGGGAGGGGACGTTCCCAGTGACCAGCAGCTGTGCTCTCCCCGCAGCCTCCACTTCATCGTGTTCGACACGGAGACCAACCACGACATCCTGAAGGTGTGGGACGGCCCCGTGGACAGCGCCATCCTGCTGAAGGAGTGGAGCGGCTCGGCGCTGCCCGAGGACATCCACAGCACCTTCAGCTCCCTCACCCTGCAGTTCGACAGCGACTTCTTCATCAGCAAGTCCGGCTTCTCCGTGCAGTTCTCCAGTGAGTGCCCCCCCCCTCCCCGCCCTCCCTGCGGGGACCGTCCCCGGTGTTCTTGCCTCTCCTCCACGGGGCTCACTTGCACTGGGCACAGAATGGAGTTTGGGGAACGCATCACAGAGAATATTTTGTCTTAGGAAATCCTGCTTTTTTATTTATTTTTTACTTATTTTTATTTTTTAATACTCACCCGAGGATATTTTTTTCATTACTTTTCGGGGTGGGGGGACATCCCTGTGAAAGAGACACATCGACGGGTTGCCTCCCACAGGTGCCCTGACCAGGGCCAGGGATTGAGCCTGCAACCCAGGTACACGCCCTTGGCTGGAATCGAACCTGGGACCCTTCAGTCCAAGACCCAGCGCTCCAACCACTGAGCCAAACCAGCCAGGGCAAAATCCTGCTTTTTCAGACAGGCAGTGGACTGCCTTAGTTATATGACTATATATATAACTTCGTTATATGACTATATATATAACTTCGTTGTTATATGACTATATCTATAACTAAGGCAGTCCATTATATACATATATAATCTCCCAAACATGTACACACACTCTGAATAATTACAAAGACAATGTTTATTAAAATACATTTCATTTTCAAAATGGAGCTACCAGCTGTTAAGTGTGTCCACAGTTTTGGGGACACGCCGCGTGTGTGTGTGTAACCGGGTGCGGTGTCTCTGTGACAGCAGGTTGGCCTTCGGTGCTGCCCACAGCCGCCCGGTGCCGGCTCCCCCGGTGCTGAGAGGCCAGGCCCCGGCGTAGCCAGGCGGCTGGGACCCCTGCTTCCTCCAGCCCCACTTCTCTGCACAGAAGAGCCCGGTTCACCCTCCTGGGGGCCCAGGTTTCAGGACCGTCCCCGCAGGCCCCCCGGGGCCCCCCTGGGACACTGGCTCCGTCATCCCCTGAGCTCACCTCCCACCTCTGCCGTCGGGGCCTCGTGATGAACAGGTTCCCGAGGAGGCGGGAGAGACATTCTGAGCAGCTCCAGGGCCCCACGCAGACGCCATTCAATTCGGTTCCGTAGCTCGCAGGGTCGGCCGTCGTGGTAAAAGCAGCGGAACCTGCATGTAAACATACCCGGCGCCCTCTGTCCCCTGGCAGGTCCCTGGGGGGCCGTGGTTGGGATTCACGCGGGGAAGTGAACTGGGGCAGCTGAAGGCCCCCAGAGCCCGGCTGCAGTCGGCAGGGCTCTCACCTCGGGCCCCCGCGCCTCGAGGCGGCGTCTGCGGGCCTCGCGGAATAGCGCCTGCGTGTGGCCGGGCGTTCGGGGAGTTCGCTCCGGGGGGAATGTCCTGCATTCTAAGATTATACCAGTTTTGCCCTTTTCGTGAAATAAAAAAGCCCTTTGCTCTAGAGATGCTGCGAGAGCAGGTAGATGTCTGACGTCCCGGCCCTGCTGGGCGCAGGAAAAAGTCGATGACGCTGTGAGAGGCTGTTTCTCTCCCCCGCCCGCCCTGCACGCTCCTGTCCATTCCTAAAGAGACTTTAGAGCAGTTTGTGCTTCAAACAGCATCGAGAGCAGGGCAGAGAGATCCCCAAGCACCCCTGCCCCCACGCGGCCTCCCCCCAGCACCCACCGGGTGGGACGTTCGTCACCACCGTGGACCTGCACGGACACATCCCCCCCTGAGTCTGCCGGTGACGTCGGGGTCCCTCCGCGTTCTGCACCCTGTGGGTCTGGGCGGATGTGTGACGACCTGTGTCCACCGTCAGGAACCACCCAGAGTAGACCCCCCCCCCGCGG